GCAACAAGCTTAAATGTGCTCTGGGTATCACTTTCTTCTTTTTTGGACCCGCACATACGGCACAGCGAAAAAAAAGAAACTATGCAGCAGCTTCTGAAAGCACAAAACGTGGTAACATGTTTCAAGCTTGACCCTGCTAGCGCCGTTTCCTGGCGCGGCCGTTAGGTGACGAGCACTCACTTCGAGTCATGAATAGTGCTTAAATTTGCCTACTTTTCTGACTTGCATTTCTATCATAAATAAAAACATGTTACCAGGTTTACAGTTTGTTTCTATTTTTCTTAGGAGATGGTGAAATTAATTGCTTTTTTTTTCACAATGCAATACATGAAAATGCATTAATTACAGAACACAGTACAGTCAGTAGATGCTTCTAACAGTGTCTTCCATGAACATTATGCACTTTATGTACTCATATTAATTTTTTGTGACCTAAGAAGTGTGTAAATTGGCTGATGGCAGGGCAACTTAAAGGGGTACTGACACAAAATTCACGACCGAGATAGCCTGCGGGGTCGATTCCCTTGAACCTTTGTATATAAAATGTAAAATATCAACAGTGAATATAGCTTGGAAGGTACTTTAAATTAATTTTGAAGCTTGCGTGAGCGCTGTACTCTATCGTGCAATTGACGCCCTCGAAGGGAACCCTTTGGGGACACAAAACTTCCCCGTCACGTCACCATGCTGTAGTCAATAAAACAGATTGTGATGATGTCGTAGCCGCAATTTTTTTTTTTTGCTGCGTTTGTTCCCACAGTCTATACTTCTCGACGGCTGGTCGCGAGTGCGTGGCATTGGCGCACGCTTTGAAAGTTTTGTGCTTGGCGACGCTGCTGTCCTGTTTGTTATACGAAAGTAATTCTTGATGTGGACCGTGCAAAAGTGTGTCACAGTTCCGTGTGCTGACCTGGTCAAGAGCTGCACACACCAGGTGATAGTTGCGCCAGGCAGCCTCTTGTTTTCGGAGCTCTCTCAAGCCTTAACTAAACCTGGTTGATAATGAGGGGCCTGTAATTAATTATCTGTCGTGCACTGCAGCAAACGATGTGTCATGTTATGAGTAACAGGCCCCCAGCAACACATTGCAGCCGAAAAACGCGAGGCCAAAGTTTTTGTGTCAGTTACCCCTTTAACACTTGATCCTTGTGGAAGACCATGGGAAAAGACCAGACATTTTGGGTGACCATATAAATCTAAGAGAGGAAATTTTTCCTAAATTCAGTATGTGATGTAGGACATTGCAGGCGTCATATGTGTGACTTATTCAATATAGTCAAGTGAATTTTGTGAACCAGGGTAGTGTTTCGCTGATCACATTCCTAAAACGAGGAATTTTTTATGCTTTATTCATCCTTCTTGTGCAACCAGTAAGCAGAGTTGTCAAATAAAAGCGAAGAATACTTCACATGGAGGACATTGCTATCTTGAGGAAGCAGTAAAGGAAGCTCACAGTCGTGGTTTTTCCCGCTTTGTTTTCCTTGTAGTGGGAGACGGCAGTTTCCGGCTTGGTAAAGCAAAGCCGGCATTGGAGAGGGCATCCAACATCTATGATGAAACTAGTAAAGGTCATACTGCTGAACCTTTTCAGTGGCTAGATAATGAAAAGAAGTGTTTCATCTATGCTTTAGAGCTAATTACTTATCAATTTACTCACAAAAACACTGTTTTGTTGTGTTAAGCATTTGGTGGGATCATCGTCGCTTTTTTTTGCGCTCCAAATTATCATGAGAGCCCTAAAATAAACATTGAAATTATATTCGCAGTCTCTAAACTTTTCTGTAATTCCAGAAGAGCAGTTGTCACAATATTTAGATTGATGACCATGGTTTCTATAATTCTGCGTGGATGTTAAGGATTTGAATCCTTACCGTCACTTCTATAGATATACATTCATAGCTTTTACTGGAGCACTTCCCAGTTTGCTTCTTATTTTTAAAGGGGCCAACGATTGCCCAAAACATGAAATGATATGACTGCATGGATAAAAAGATTGTCTTTCATAGTGACTCAAACCAACCTTATTTTTCTAATGAGAAGTGGAGTTATATTTTCACTTCTTCATTGAAAATAGCAAAAATAGCCTGTGGCGCCACCTGGTGGCAATAATTTCCATTATCCGAGCTGCCCTGTCCCGTGACCGTAAAGTTGTGTTCGCGGTCAACCATTTTTCTGTTAATATGGAAATACTGCTTGCTTCTTTACACTAAAAGATATAAATGTACTATATAAATGTACTCCATATAAATGTACTTATAGGCCTGGTTTAGTAGTGTGCAATAGTGTGGCGCTACCTTCGCATGACGTAATGATCCCGTGCTCGTCAGCGCGTCTTGAGCAACTTTTCTATGGGGACACAAAACTTCCCCGTCACGTCACCATGCTGTAGTCAATAAAACAGATTGTGATGATGTCGTAGCCGCAATTTTTTTTTTTGCTGCGTTTGTTCCCACAGTCTATACTTCTCGACGGCTGGTCGCGAGTGCGTGGCATTGGCGCACGCTTTGAAAGTTTTGTGCTTGGCGACGCTGCTGTCCTGTTTGTTATACGAAAGTAATTCTTGATGTGGACCGTGCAAAAGTGTGTCACAGTTCCGTGTGCTGACCTGGTCAAGAGCTGCACACACCAGGTGATAGTTGCGCCAGGCAGCCTCTTGTTTTCGGAGCTCTCTCAAGCCTTAACTAAACCTGGTTGATAATGAGGGGCCTGTAATTAATTATCTGTCGTGCACTGCAGCAAACGATGTGTCATGTTATGAGTAACAGGCCCCAGCAACACATTGCAGCCGAAAAACGAGAGGCCAAAGTTTTTGTGTCAGTACCCCTTTAACACTTGATCCTTGTGGAAGACCATGGGAAAAGACCAGACATTTTGGGTGACCATATAAATCTAAGAGAGGAAATTTTTTCTAAATTCAGTATGTGATGTAGGACATTGCAGGCATCATATGTGTGACTTAGTCAATATAGTCAAGTGAATTTTGGGAACCAGGGTAGTGTTTCGCTGATCACATTCCTAAAACGAGGAATTTTTTATGCTTTATTCATCCTTCTTGTGCAACCAGTAAGCAGAGTTGTCAAATAGAAGCGACGAATACTTCACATGGAGGACATTGCTATCTTGAGGAAGCAGTAAAGGAAGCTCACAGTCGTGGTTTTTCCCGCTTTGTTTTCCTTGTAGTGGGAGACGGCAGTTTCCGGCTTGGTAAAGCAAAGCCGGCATTGGAGAGGGCGTCCAACATCTATGATGAAACTAGTAAAGGTCATACAGCTGAACCTTTTCAGTGGCTAGATAATGAAAAGAAGTGTTTTATCTATGCTTTAGAGCTAATTACTTATCAATTTACTCACAAAAACACTGTTTTGTTGTGTTAAGCATTTGGTGGGATCATCGTCACTTTTTTTTGTGCTCCAAATTATCATGAGAGCCCTAAAGTAAACATTGAAATTATATTCGTAGTCTCTAAACGTTTCTGTAATTCCAGAAGAGCAGTTGTCACAATATTTAGATTGATGACCATGGTTTCTATAATTCTGCATGGATGTTAAGAAGTTGAATCCTTACCATCACTTCTATAGATATACATTCATAGCTTCTACTGGAGCACTTCCCAGTTTGCTTCTTATTTTTAAAGGGGCCAACGATTGCCCAAAACATGAAATGATATGACTGCATGGATAAAAAGATTGTCTTTCATAGTGACTCAAACCAACCTTATTTTTCTAATGAGAAGTGGAGTTATATTTTCACTTCTTCATTGAAAATAGCAAAAATAGCCTGTGGTGCCACCTGGTGGCAATATTTTTTTGTTATCCGAGCTGCCCTGTCACGTGACTGTAAAGTTGTGTATGCAGTCAACCATTTTTCTGTTAATATTGAAATACTGCTTGCTTCTTTACACTAAAAGATATAAATGTACTATATAAATGTACTTCATATAAATGTACTTATAGATCTGGTTTAGTAGTGTGCAATAGTGTGGCACTACCTTCGCATGACGTAATGATCCCGTGCTCGTCAGCGCGTCTTGAGCAACTTTTCTATGTGCTCACAAAACCGTGCACACAGTTCCTAGGTCGCTAAAAAGTTGTAGTGATGAGGTTTTTTTACCTACACTGTGTCTCGGAAATTATGTGCTGTGACATTTTCGATGACTTGACTTGGCTTGTGTCGAGAGAGTAACGACTATGGGACAAGCCATCCACGACATAGCCGCATCGATATTAGGGGCAGGCACATGCAACACGATACAAATGTAGGGAAGCTGTATAAAGCCACATCATCTCATTGTAACAGCTTGTTATTTTCTAAAATAGTTTTAAAGCATAGAATAAACATGGTTAATTATAGTTACAGGAAGTCCTGCGAAATCAGAACAATGACTGCATGCACAAGTAGCTAGAAGGGCTATCGGTATCGCTATCAATTCTCAGCGCTGCTGGACAAATGGTGATCAGAGCCTTTCAAATCAAAAAATACTACTTATAAAATAACTACATGCTTTTGGGAGTAACTAGTGCAGGTGGGTAAGTGCGTAAATGGGTGAATGGGTCCAACAAGAATGAATAATGCAATTAAGTCATTCATAACTGAACAGAATTTTAAACTTCTCTCAAAGAGATGGTTACACCCATACAAACATGTTCAGTCCAACCGATACCACACTGAATTGTATTGCATAAGTAGCATATTTAAATCAGACTGGTGGCATGGAAACGGAAACTTATACTGAATTTCTTTGTATTGGGCATTGAACTAGAACTTTTTTGCTTTATACAATCAAATGTTTTGTCATACTCTTGCTTTGTGTAGGTTTCACAGTGACTCGCAAGGATAGTCAACTATATGACTAGCGAAATTTCATGTGAAGCATTTGTTCAGCAATAGTGCCAGCATTAATATTTTTGTTCTTGTTTATTGACAGCGTCAAAAGCTGTCCATTCTTGTGATGTGAAGCTTTGCAGAGTCGCCTAACTAACCCTGTTTGTATTTCTCTTCAGAGTCCATCCTCTGTGCCACTTCCTTCAAGTGGTAGTTCAAGCTATGATAGCCGGCACTCATCAAATACCAGCCGATCTAGCATGGCCTCCGCACAATCCCCGGAGAGTGTTTCCAGAAAGGTTTGTGGCTGTTATTCAAGTAGTTTTTTTTTTGAAAACCTATCGTAGCTTACATTAGAAGTTGTAAGTGTTGTACGGTACAGTGAACGCATTGTGAGCACACCCAAACTTGAAAATACAAGCATTGAAAATTCCTGCCCCTTTTTTTTGTTCGGGAAGTTAATAATTAGTGAGGTAACTAATTGGAGCTATAGTGGTTACTCTTTCAATGACAGTGCAATTGGACAGGACAGTTTGGGAAAAACTTGTTCTAGAAACCTGGGTTTGCAGCTGAACCACTCAGTATCCTCTTTCCCGATGTCACTGGCTACAAATCTTGAGCAGAAGCTTTTGCTTGTCCTCCTCCTCATTCAAGGTTCAGGAAGAGGGAACAAGGCATAAATAGACGCTCTGCTTAGGAAGGCAGTGACAAAAACAAGTCTTCTATGTCAAATTTTTTTACTGCAGCAATGTTCCCCATTTCGACGTCATTGAGTGCAAAAATGAAAAAATTGACGCTGAAGGGGGAAAAAAATATTTGTAAAATGTTCTGCAGAATTGGAAGAACGATTCTCTTTGTAAAACTGGTTTTGTGTGTCTGGCATAATTTAAGACTGTGGTTACATCGGAAAATATGCTTAATGTTTCAAATACTAGCTCTCTGTCACAAGCTGAAACGGCTAACAAGAGGGTAGTGCCCTCATCTGGTACTTCAGGCGAAGCCCTATGCTGAAATCAGTGTAGTTAATATTAACGTTAAACAATTGAATTTAGGCTGGGTACTTATGATACTTTTGGATGTCGAGTTAAAGCTATGTGCTAAATGACAAATATGAAATAACTATGTAGTCCTGTAATCCCGATGCTAAAGTAGAGAATGGCCCAGCCACATTCAGAGCTTCTGCACTAGAGTGTCAAGAAATTATTTTTCTTTTACATAATCCTCACCTTCCCTGCAATCACTGCAGTACATCAATACAAAGGATTTTCTGCACAAGTAAAACTTTACTATTTGAATGATTAGCTATTTAAATGTCCCTCTTTTTTTTTTCTTTTACAACAGACATCTTCGGGAGCTTTGACTGCAAAGATTAATAATGGCCTGGATTCAAGCTTCGACATCAGCTTTTCTAGCATAGAGGCTTGTGCATCGCCCGAGATAATCAAGAAGGTTTGTAAAGAGATTGACTAGGAGCTCAGAATTATGTGAGTGCTGTTCAGTAAATGAAGTTTGTTATGTACAGGTCAAGAAATCGTTCTACAAAGAAGGTAGGGTTATAATAATTTTTGATTAGTTATGACATTATTTAGGAGGCTAGTTATGATTACTGCTGATGAAGGTACATAAGCACTCTTTTTTTTGCCTAACTGTAAGCAAATTGTAATTTAAAAAATGTTTAATTACCAGAGACATCTGCATGGTTAACAATGTTGGTGAGGGGTAGTTTTAAAACAAGTATGCGGAGTTTCATACAGTTAACAGCTACCAACTGTATTCAGCTTAATCACTGGCATAAAAAGTGTGCAGGAACTTATTAACTCACATTTAATACTTTTACTTTAAACCATATTGAGCAGTACAGTTTATGAGATTCTGTGCATTTGGACAGCGAACCAAGCTGTCTGAACTTTATAATTGACTTTTATGACATGCTGTGCAATTTATACGCTTTCTGGGAGTCTATAAAATTGCAAATGTTCCCAAATAATATCAGTGTCATGAAATAGAATCGAAATAACAAGTACATGAAATAGAACTATTTCATAAAAATTATTTGTAAAATTGCAACTCAAAAAATTCATTAATATGTAATAAGGCCCCTAACAATATTCACGGCTGTCTAACAATATCAGTAATGTTACTAGTCAATCAAATGAATAAAGAATGAGCTTACTTTTTTATGCAAGGAATAAGTGAGGGATCAAGAAAAACTAGTTCTATGAATGAACATGGAGTGAATTATTCTTATTTGATGTTATAAATGCCACATGCTACAAACTTACTGTATAACGTATTTTTTTTCTACGACTCCCATTTAGGAATAGTAAATGTATGCTCTAGCTTCTTACATTTGCTGACATTTTTGTTGTTGTTTTTTAGGAATCTGAACTCTCACCTGCACATGCAGACACGTCTTTCAACGAAACACTCAGCAGGTACAAGAGAAAGGTGAGTTTTTGCATCGTGGTTTATCGGTGAAGTCAATTTTTTCTATCTTGCCAGCATTATTACAAAGATGTATCACATCTTTGCGCGTTGCTAGTTAAGTTGAGAATTTGGATGGTACAGTAATATTTTTTTTTTTGTTACTTTTTTTATGGAGCATGGCTATCAATTATTACATGCTGTACAGCAATTAATGCTATATTCGTGCCAGGTGAAATGTAACGTTTTTTGTACGTGCATAGATAGATATGTGCATGTAAACAGCTTTGTATGTTTTCTTACTTTTTCTGAAGATATTACGCCACCCATTACCAGTCAGTATCCTACTGTGCCGGTCTAAGCTTGCTTCACAAATATATTTTGGGGCGTCCTAGTAAAATGCTAAGTGAGCATGTTGCTTACTCGCAGTCAATGCCTGGAACTGTACAATGCTTTTTTTTTTACTGTTGACATCAGTCATTTTGATTTCATCATGGTATATATCACTTTTGCCTCAAAAGAGCGTGTGCCAAACATTCCTGTTGTAGGGAAAATTGACACTATATATAATACACACTTTATAGCCATTTTATTTTGCATTTTTGAATAAAGCTGCTTTATGTATAGCATTTTCTTCTCTCAAAACTTCCATACGGAATGTCAGCCTTGCAGCATGAAATTTGAATGTGGACGGTGATAAGACGGCATGACCGAAATCAGTTACAACAGCAGTGTTTACCCAACACTGTGACATAGTTGCAGTTAGTTTCGATCATGATGGCATAGTGCTTAGGCCCTTTCTCTTGTAAAAACCTCGTTTTGCACTGTTCTGTACATTTGAATCCATTATCAAGCCTAATGTGTATTTAAGAAATTGGGAAGACTTTGGGTCACTTGTATGTTTGTTCTAGTGTCCACATAATGAAAAGATGAGAATCGAAAAATTCAAGTTTTTCTTTCAAGATTTCTTAATTTTATATTCATTTGCTTTCACATGCTTGGTTTCTCTACTTTTGGTCAAAAAAAATTTAATATTATAATTAAACAGGAGAAGGTTAAAATCGCTTTAACGAGCTAAAGGTGGCTACTAAAAACTAAGAAGAGCTCATTGTCTCGAGTCCCCTGGAAATGGTCACCTGACTGCTTGCCGTAGCATTTTGCATGAGCAGTTCACCAAAGTTACATTCTGAAAATAACCATGATTCCCATGCTCGCCTGGTGGAAGAAATCATTTGAAAAAAAAACATATCTTTGCCATATAAATAAACTTTCACTCATACCATTAAAATTGGCTTTTTTTAAAATATCATATTGGGCAACTTTATGAGTTTGGACATCATTTTGTTGGCATTTTTGATAGCTAGATTTTGATGTAAACTTGCCCACATATTTCTTGACATCAAAAGTGCAAGTATCTGCTTTGAAACTTTATATACCTATACAATTATTACAAACCTAAGGAAAGCATGTAGTATAATATGAGCATAACAACACTTCTCACATTACAATTTTTCTTGTCAAATAAAACGTCTTATATGCACTGTCTTGTTAGTTTTTTGCATTGTACAGTCAATGTGAAACAAGATGGACCATTAATGGCCCAGAATCATAAAAATTTAGTGGCAAAAAAGGTGTGTCCAAAAAGAACTATATTCTACACATTGTCATGGTACAAAAGGAAAACTATGCAACTTACTATAAAACTGATTACATGTTTGAAATGATCACAAAAGCCTGTGTATACAGCGAAAGTTTCATTTCTATAGGCAGCAGATTAAAGGACCCTTTTTGGTCGAGTATCATCTCACCTGAAATGTCTCCAAATGCTTGGTACATGTATTTCTCAGCATTTGGCAGTGTGCACATCATTAGCAGTTTCTGTCCCACTGATGTCGTCAGGGCCATGGATGCACACATCTGTCCTGGCCCTAAAACAACTCTGTCAAGGTCAGGCTAGCAAAAGTTACTTTCTGTGTGGGCGCAGAAGCTTTGGCAGTCCGTTTTGTTGCTACAGGATCAGCCAGGAAATATAACAAGATAAGCAGACACATTTATGGGTGCTTCCTTGTAGATATGATTATGTAATTACATTGACACATTTAGATGTGCTCAGTACCTTCTGTGGTTCTCTTTGCGGGTAACCTTGAGGGCCTCTATAGAAGGCCATTGTGCATAATTGTGACATTATGTAATTAAGCACAACGTATGGACACTTGTTTCAGTCGTTGTCATGTGGTGCTCAATCCACACTAAAAAGTCTCACCGAGAGCTGTCAAATTGCCCATTGTTCACATTGGCAGGGAGTGTCGTAAGCTAAAGCACCCTGTTTACAGTAAATGGCAAGCATCCCATCTTTACTTTCTCTCTTATCAATTCAGCAAAAGAGGCACTCGTTTATTTATTTTTTGGGGGGGAGGGGGTAGTTTTAGAAGGAGGGTAGTCGCTTGCCCGTTGTTGCCTACTTCTTTCACCTCATAAGCGAGGGTTACCAGTAGACACACATAATTTGTCAGTCAGCAGCTCGGGAAAACTGAGCCCCTATAAACAGACAGAGAAACCCTATTGTCTCACAATGCTCACAACAAAAGCCCCCAATAAAATTGCGTAGCAGGTTTAGTGCTATGGTGTGTGCTTCAATATCCTCTTGTCCGTGCTGTGATTTACGCTGTTTTTAAGGTATTCAAAGGAAAGCCTCAAGCGGATGCCTCAGTCAAAAATTTTTCGAGGGCATCGCATAATGACCAAGTGTGCATTTCTGTCCTGCTGTGCCTTTTCCAGTTCACGTAGGGCTTAACAGAGGTATCTTAGGAACAGGGATGACAATAAATTGTTTATCATGTTCCATGATAAACTTAATAAAAATATGAGAGGTGTGCTTTGAGCAGACTCTGTGCTGCAGTTGTTTGGGGAGGATTTGAAGTGGGAAGTCGTAGAAACAATTTGTGAGCATTGCACCATATCTCACAGTGCTTTTTCACAGAGTTCACCACATGCAGTAGAGTGTCATAGTTTTTTTTATAAACACTGGAAAGAATGCATCATCCAGGAAGACATACAACCTTAATTCACAAGAACATTGCACAATTTCACTTGGTAACAACAATGTAATCAATAACACTGGTATATTGTACGCGATGGGTACACATCAGTGAGGTTTTTTGTATCTGCACAGTCTAGAACTTCTCTTTTTACACTGTCTCATGTGTCTCGTTAGATCTGCACACCTTCTGCTTTTAACTATCTTTGTTATGACATGGAAACAAAGTGTCGTCGCCATGAGGACACCTTGTGTAGAGGTCATAGTCACCAAGGGCTGTCAATTAAGTTTCCGGCGCCTCTGCTGTTGTAGATGGGCGATGTGAAGCGTCAGCTGAGCAAGCGTGATGAGCTGATCAGGCTACTGACCGGGCGGTTGGAGAAGACACGTCAGGAACAGGAGCGCGCACTGCGGGAAGCCTCTCAGCAGGAGCATGCACTGACCCAGGAAGTGAGCCAGCTGAAGGGAGAGCTCCAGATATGCATGGAACTGCTCGAGGCCCGAGGCGGAGACTCTAGCCTCAGGCAACAGCACCAGCAGGTGAATGGTTGCTGGTGTCCGCAGTGTTTTTCTTCTCTGTTCCCCTCCCTCCCCTCCCTTTCTTTATCTTTAATTTTCTTAATTGTAAGAAGGGGGATGTGCTAGTGCAGCATCCTATGCAATTCATAACTTGACTGTCAAGTGTGCTGCATTATACTGGCAGTTGCGCAGGAAAATATAGCGGGTCTTTCTGTCTTTTTGTGTCATTTGTTGAATATCAGTGGCAGGGCTTTGTTCTCGGATACAAGTTTGTGGGCCCAGTTCTTTCTTCACTCAGGAACATTTGCACACGAAAATGTGACGTGGAAGTGCTGGGGTAATACTGGAATGCCACTTGACGCCGTACCATGTTCATGAAAGCAGTGTCTAGCAACTAGGCTAGGGGTGTTAAACTGACCTAAGGTAATGGGTCGTTGTCATAAGACTTTGTCCCTCAAGAGCAGTAAAGCAGCTTAGAGTGGATGGGGAGGGAGGAATTAGAATAAGATGTCACCTAATGTAGCCATCTGAAACGGTACTTTTCTTGTATCTTGCGCAGGAGTAATTTTTTTAGGAGGATCAGACGTCAGATGTGACTTCAACAGTGGTTAAAACTGGACGTTTATTTTGAAATTTTATAGAGCTTTTGTTCCAAGGTGATGCTTCAACACATGGTGTTAGACAGGGTGCCTCACAAAAAATTGTGTTTCAGACGAGTGCCATCTCTGTAGCTTACCTGAATAAAGCGTTATTTATTGCAATAGGGGAGAAAATAATGTGAGTGCCATATAGCCCAGTCACAAAGCCTGTGGCTTGTCTCCATTGTTAAGCCAAGTTCTTGTGAAGTCGTGAATCACCAGCGAAAGCCTGTGGACCGCTTGTTTGAGACCTCTGATCTAGGTAGATCTGCTTACATTGTCAAGGAAGAGTCGCAAGACCCCATACAGTATGATCGGCTGCTAATGCCCAATTTATATCTCTCCCTCATGTTTTCAGATGCTGAACGCAAGAAACGAAGCAGTGGAGGAACTGCAACAGAAAGTGGAGGCCCAGGAGCAGCAGATTGCCATGCTGCAGCAGATACGCACTGACCTGCTTGGCCGACTGGCAGCTGCCGCTTCTCTAGGCCACGAGGAAGGCGCGGTGAGCCAGGCATGGGTGTCTAGTAGCCTAATAGGCAGGCGGATGGGTAGAGTAGGGTTACACAATAGAGATATTGCTTGATATGCATGAGTGCTGCTTGAGGTTAGGTTGCCTTAAGAATACCGGAATGCCATGCACATTAGTAGTATGGTTGGCCATCTTAGACTGTGTTTCTTGAAGAAGCACCGTTTGCAGCTTGTTGATGCTTTCAACTGTAATTACACTCAAACATCGATACGACTCTGGATATAAGGAAATATCAGTTATAATGCAGTAAGGGAAAAATAGTCTTGCAATAGATGTAGTGTTAGGAATGTGACTTTGTAACGAATTTTCAGATATAACAAACTTAATTTTACGTAAGATGCAACTTTTTTTTAATTAGGTTTGAGTATAGCTCGGTACAACCCGGCTTCACAATATGCTGCCTAGCGCTGTCCTAATCGTTCCACAAACAGGCAGAGCTTTCCTTAGTGATTAAGATGCTCAGTATACAGCAACATTATTCGGCTTTCATTGCTACAGCCAATCACGCCGTAATTTTTGGAGGAGCTTCGGCAGGGACTGGGATCTTGTTGCTGCTGTTATCTTCACTGCATCTGCCATATCGCAGTTACTCTTGTGTGCATTAATGATGCATGGGAGTAAGACATGTTTATGGTTCGACTGTTATATTTGATTAATGCTTTAAAGCTCACTATAGCTTTCTTGTGGTCATCGTGGTGGTGGTGATGGGGGGGTGGCTCTGCTTTGGCGTGCAAACGTGGAGGTTGAATCACTGAAGTGTCGCTTAACTCTTGAATTGCCTGCATCTTGACTGCATCTTGTGGCTAGGCCACATAGCTGAACGCAAAATTTAAAAATATTCTTAGCTTCAAAAGTCCTGATTTCAGAAGTTTAATACTGTTATTTTCAAAGTCCACCATGAACTCTTATCAGGCACTGCCTTTCAGGGTCCCAAGATAGGATGATAATAGTGAGGACATATGCAACTGTTTCATGTGGGCATGTTTAGATACACCAGCAAAAAGGTAAGAGTACAGCAAAAGGGTATAGCAAACACATTTGCTGTGCTCGAATTAAAACCAGAGCAATCTACACTTCTGTGCTGCACTCCATTTGTTTGCCTTATGGCTTGTTCACACTGAAGGCGGAACGGCAAGGCAGACAAATGGGCTTTTTGAAGCAGTGAGGTGGCCACTGCGTGCACCTGTTCAGACAGCTCGCCTCTTCTGGCTGTTCATGCTATGGTGGAGCATGTTGCGCTTTTGTGCGTGCGTGGCCATTACGTGGCATTGCTTCTTCCAAAAATGCACCAATGCCAGCGCTGCATGGCGTTCTGATTGGTTGCAGTAAAGCGGAGAGCTTCAGCGGCTGGCATAAAATCGGTCACCCGAGTGATCTGGCTAGCCACCTCGTATTCTGCCCGCTTTCGGCACCTGGAGAAAAGGCTATCATGCTTTCTGCTTCTATCGCTCCTCCTTTAGTGTGAATGAGCCTTTATTCCCATATTATCAAGTACTAAAATGCTTTCACAGCTCTTCTAGTTCACCCGCTTACTATCTAGTGAGACTCGCTCAAAGTTTCCAAAGGAGTACTATTACAGGTTAAATATTAGTGCCAATGACGGAAAAGCAATTTTATCATGAAGTTATAAGGAAGCTAGTGAACATTGAATTAAAGTAGTTGAAGCATTTGCTCGCAATTACGATGGACTATACAAAATTAACCAATGTTGTCCACTTAGCATGTTCATAGTACAGAGCCTGCTTATTTAATGCTAAAGGAGTTCCTTCTTCTTATTATATTTTTTATTGTGCATTTCATAGAAAATTCTTTCTCATAGTGTAACATTGTTTCCTGTTTTGTTTTTGTTCAAGATTTCAGGCATGGGAGTCCTTAAATTCTTTAATGTGGTCGGTCTGGGTGCTTTCAAATTTTTTGTTCATTCACAAATGCAACAGCTGTGCCAAAACCGTGAAATTTGCCGTAATTGCACCACGATGTGCCAAAATGCCTGACCAGCCTCAAAATTTTCTCAGTTTTGCTAATATGGAGGCTGTGTTGGCCAGCTTCAGTCTGCGTCATTAGTCAATTCAAGCACGCAGACTCTAACTGCAGTGTACTAGAAGGTGGCAGTGGAATGAATGAAGTGGCTGCACCGCATCTCTGCTTATTCTCTGGCGGGTGACAGTAGCAGCGGCTCTGTAGTCACTTTGCACTGAAGATGTGAAGAGCACGTGCATTTGGAGCATGCACGTCGTAACCTTCGAAAGCGTGTAATTGCTCATTTTTAGCCCTTTTAACGCATCGCTGAGGCTTTAGTGCTGTATGCACACCTGCTACACACCATGGTGCACGAGTGATTATGCAGGCATGCCGAAATCGCATCAATACATTCCCCGTTTCAAAAATATACCGACCCGCAAATGAAAAGAAAAAAAAACAATGAAAGAAAGAAAACACCTTACAATCAGAATTTGGGTGGATCCGCCTCGCTGCTCACTATATTGTCACGAGCAAAACAAGACCTACAGCCAGGAGTTCACCTGAACCAGAGCAACGAAAAATGTTCTCTTCTTCTTGGCTCGTTCATCATGGTAGCATTACCCCCTCTCCCAAGAAGCATCATCTCGATTCTGTGCATGAAGGTAAAAAAAAAAGAAAAAAAAAGAGACGAAAATTACCATGCAAGCAAAATGAATGGCGTAAGGCGGAATAACGTAGTTGGTTGTGGAGTCAAGAGTCAAATGAGAAATAAAAAAAATAGGAAAGAATGTAAGGAAAAGACGAAACAAAAAGATAGATGCGAAGTTTTACCAATAAAGTCAGTTACTCCCTGGTGATTCACAGCGCGAAAAGTATGGTTTGAGCCATGAAACGTGAAAGACTTAAGTTTGCAGGGGTGAAACGGGAACGTCTCGAAGCGCCTTCTGGGAGAACCTCGTAAGTGACGTCGCTGAGACCTCGTACGGCCTTGTAAGGGCCGAAGTAGTGGCGAAGAAGCTTTTCTGAACGGCCACGCTGTCGGATAGGGGTCCACACCCAGACTTCATCTCCGGGCTTGAAAATAACTTCACGGTGACGAAGATTGCAGCGGCGTGTGTCTGCGGTTTGGTGATGCTGAATACCGTGACGAGCAAGTTGACGGGCCTCTTCTGCACACTGCGCAAATTTGGCGGCATCCGTGTGGTATATTCCTAAGTTGTCGGGTAGGAGCATGGCGTCGAGCATCGTCGTGACCTAGCGACCGTGGACTAAGCGAAAAGGTGGGAAACCGGTACTTTCTTGAACAGCAGTGTTATACGCAAAAGTTATGTAAGGAAGTATGGCGTTCCAGTTCTTGTTATCGATGTCCTCATACATTGACAGCATGTGTGCAATTGTCTTATTGAGTCGTTCAGTCAGCCCGTTTGCTTTCGGGTGGTATGCCGTTGTTTTACGATGTTCCGTGCCACTTAATCGCAAGACTTCCTGCAGCATCTCTGCGGTGAAAGCTGTCCCACGATCAGTTATGACAACAGCTGGCACACTGTGACTTAAAACGATGCTTTTAACGAAAAATTGGGCGACGTCTGCTGTGGTGGCTTTTGGAAGTGCCTTTGTTTCACAGTAGCGTGTTAAGTAGTCGGTAGCGACTACAATCCACCGGTCTCCAGACGAAAACGTGGGGAATGATCTCCGCAAGTCCATGCCAATGTGATGAAAGGGCACCTTTGGTGAGCCTATTGAATGCGGTAGTCCCGCTGGTCGTAAAGGTGGAATCTGTCGCGACATGTGCGAACGTAGTGCTTCACACTCTTTGCGAGACGTGGCCAGTAGTAGGAGCGTTGAATCCGTTGCAGCGTGCGCATATAGCCGACTTGTCCGAACGATGGCTCAATATGACACGCACGTAACATGTCACCACGAAGAGTAGTTGGCGCAACAAGCAGATACATAGCCTGTGTAGGATGAAAGTTCTTTTTATAAAGCACTCCATCGCAGAAAAAAAAGGAGGATAGCGAGCGTGCAAAGCTTCAAGGAGGGTGGGAATTGCGTCCTTCCAGGTAGTCAATGAGCGGCATGAGCTTCGAGTCATGACGCTGTTGCTCAGCCAAGCGGGTTGCTGATACGGCAGAAAGAAAAGTGTCGTTGTCTTCAAGGTCAGTGTTGGCATTTTCGACCGGTGCACGTGAGAAATAGCATCGGTGTTCTTCCGCCCAGATTTGTGGAGGATGCTGACATCGAAATCTTGTAGCCGAAGGCTCCATCGTGCTAGACGACCTGAGAGAGTTTTGAGATTTGCGAGCCAACAAAGGGAATGGTGGTCGCTAACTACCCTGAATGGGCGGCCATACAAGTATGGGCAGAAATTTGTTATGGCCCAGACAACAGTGAGGCATTCCTTTTCGGTTGCAGAATGGTTTTTCTCCGCTGGGGATAACGTTCTGCTCGCATAAGCGATCACGCACTCTACGCATTTATGCCACTAAACTAATACCGCTCCTAGTCCAACATTGCTGGCGTCAGTGTGTAATTCGGTGTCGGCGCTTTCGTCAAAATGACCCAGTACAGGCAGAGCCTGGAGGAGGTTTCGGAGGGTGTCGAACACATGGCACTGATCGGGACCCCAAACAAACTTTCTTCGAAAAGTTTTTGACAAAGCGCCTGTAATACGCACAGAGCTCCAGAAATCGGCATAGGTCACGCTTATTTGTGGGCACGGGAAAGGCGGCAACGGCACGAGTTTTCTCCGGATCTGGACGCATGCCGGCATGGCTCACAACGTGACCAAGGAACTTCAGTTCTTCATATCCAAAATGACATTTCTCAGGTTTGAGAGAAAGCCCCACTGTTCTGATTGCCTGAAGAACTGCCTGGGGGCGTTGGACGTGATGTTCAAACGTGTCTGCAAAGACCAAGACATCATCAAGGTAAACAAGACATGATTGCCATTTGAGCCCCGTGTGAACCGTATCCATCATTCTTTTGAAAGTAGCTGGCGCTGAACATAGACCGAAAGGCAACACTTTAAACTCGTACAGGCCGTCGGGAGTAATAAACGCCGTCTTTTCGCGGTCGCGCTCATCCACTGCGATTTGCCAGTAGCCGCTACGCAAATCCATGGAGGAAAAATATTTAGCGTTGCGTATACGGTCCAACGAGTCGTCTATCCGGGGTAGAGGATAAACGTCCTTTTTGGTGACATTGTTCATGTTACGGTAATCAACGCAAAAACGCAACGTACCGTCCTTCTTTACTAGCACAACTGGCGAAGCCCAGGGACTGGTCGATAGCTGGATGACGTCGTCCTGAAGCATCTGCTGGACTTGGTCAGGTATAGCGTCTTGCTCTTTTTGCGACACCCTATAGGCGTGCTGTCGGATGGGTGTCTCGGTGGGCTCCGTGATGATTCGATGCTGAGCAAGTGGTGTCTGTTTAACCTTTGACGTAGTGGCAAAACAGTCTTGAAATGAGTTGAGTATACGCAAAAGACTTTCTTGTTGAGCTGAAAGTAGTCTCTCGTTTACGTCGAGAGTGCTCGCAAAGGCCTCGTCAGGGTGGCCATTCGATGAAAATGACGCTAACGTGGACGAACCATCGGCATCGACAAGTTCTTCGCAATATGCTATGGCAGTGTGTCTTGTTAGATGGCGATATTCGTCGCTGAAGTTCGTGACCAGCAGGTGAGCATGCCTGTTACTAGGCTGAATGATTCCTCGGGCAACACAGATTTGTCGTGCAATAAGGAGAGACAAATTGGCCTCTGCAATTTCCGCGTCAGGCACGTCCTGTCTCAATTCTACTTGATAAAGAGGCTGCTTCGAAGTGGGAAAGTCAGAGAATCGTCGGTAACACAGAGCGCTCTTTTCCGGAATTGTGTACTGTCAGTTGCAGCGCAAAAAAGATCCTCAAACGACACAAGTAATTCACAGAGGTCGATGGCGGCACTGTATTCACGAAGGAAGTTTATTCCTAGAATGACTGGCCGAGAGCACACGCGCAATACGACGAAAGAGCTCGCAAATGTGGACGTACGTATTCGAATGCGTGCCATACACATACCAGTAGGCATCACCAGATGGCCACCTGCCGTGCGCAACTGCGGTACTTGCCACAGTGTGGTAACCTTCCTCAGTTCATATGCCAGTGTGGCGCTCATTACGGAAAAGTCGGCACCGGTGTCGATGAGGGCTTTGACAGCATGATTGTCGATGAAGACGACGCTTTCAGCACAAACGATCTTTCTGCTGTCGGAGAACACTGCAAAACCGGAATGGTCCTCGTCCGGTCGTTGCGTCAAAGAAGGGTCTTTTACAGTTCGCCGGGCTGCGACTTCACCCCCAGAAGTCGCCATTCCTAGTTTCCCCTGCAGGGACTTCGTGACCGGCTCCTGAAAGGAGCGGAAGACAATGAGGACAAACTGGGTGATGCAGACCGACGAGGCGATGGCGATCTTGACTGGTGGTGCTGAATAGTCGAAGGAGTTCGCTGGTCCGTGAGATAGGCTTTGATTTCCCGGGGGCACTTACCGTAGCGCGGGCATCGAGCACCAGGGTGGAAGCCGCGGAGACCAAGTTGCCGGTATGGACAGTTCCGGTATACGTGATGGATGCAAGGCGGCAATACCGACAAGAAAATTCTACACCAGAGACGATAGCTAATGAAGCTGTGATTATGAAGTCAAAACGTAACACGAAACTCGGAACCTCATATCAGCTATAAAGAAGAATCACCGCTGTATCACAATCGGTCTCAGCACTATCTCTTTGAATAAAAAAAATATATGAGTATCACAACCACAATCAGTCTCAGTACTATCTCAACTTTAATCACAATAATCACCTCCAAAAGCTTCGCCCCATAATTACCTTCAAGCAGCTTGAAATGCAGTGATTTTTTTTAAACGTACGCTTCCTTTTTTGTAGCGTTGCAAATTCGGTCTGTTATGATAAAAAATTGATGTGTTCTTTCTCGTAACCTGCTCTAAATTTGGATTTTAGGGCTGCAAAAGTAATATTTTACTGCTACAAAAATTGCTACAAATTTTGTTTTGGCTGTTGTGCCCCTGCTTTATTACACTGCATAAGATCTGTTACGAAGCCTGTGTGTTTCCTTTTTTCAGATTGTTACGAGCAATGGCAGCCACCCTGACTACTTGGCATCAGGGGAATGCAAAGCTGCCAGTCCTTCGGCAGTCGGTTGTCGTGGGGATTCCGTTGCACCGACTTTGGTGCCCGTCTCAGAGCTTCCCAAGCAGCAGTCACAGGGCGACACCACCTGCGAGCATCTTCCGTCCCCAGAGCACACAGAATGTGACGAGAGCCACTTCCTCAGTTGCAAACAGGTGGTCTGCAGCCACCTTTCTGACTGGATGACGGCCCGCTTTCTCAGTGTAGAAAGCCACTCTGACATTGAAGCGGTCTACAATGATCTCAAGTTGTTCGCCATGCAGGGCCTCGAGTATGCAGCTGCTTGCGAAGCTTACAGCATCTCCATACCTAGCCCAGCTGATCTTCTAGAACAGGTGGCCACGTTGCACACCAAGGTAACGACCCTCGAAGAAGATCTCAAGGCTCTGGAAGGGGAAATGATCAGAGCACGTGCCGAGAATGACAACCTTCGTCGCAACTCAGTGGCGACAGAGGAGGAACTCAAGACGCTCCGGAAGGAGCGAAACGTGGCGTTAAACTCAATTAAAGAGAGTGAGTATCAGCGGGCCAAGGAAGAAGTGGAAGACGAAAGCTTGCTGGAGGTTTATGAACTACAGACTGAATGCATTCGCCTCGAGCAAGAAAAGAAAGCCTTAGAGCAGCAGCGCACACGTCTCTTGTCGGGTGAGCAGTCGCCCTGCATGTCGCCCATCCCACCGACACTCTTGACGGCCGAGCGAGTGCGGCATAACTCGGCCGTGCAGACGGACGATTTGGAGGCTGCGAAATCTGTCATAGAAAGCAGCGGCGCTGCACTTGCGCAGGCTGTGGACAAGAGATTATCACTCGCTTCTTTGAGTGCATCAACAGAGCTTGATGACGATGAAAACGAAAAGGGCGCATACGATGCATTAGTTGCCGAGAACATTCGTCTCACTGCAGAGAGGCAGCGGGCGGAGAGCGATCTGGAAGTTTGCCGAGAGAGGTTACGCGGCGCGGAGGAGTTGATAGAAAAACTGAAAGCGGAGCTCGAACAGGAGCACGGTAGCCTAGAGCAGCTCATTGCCCAGACAGAAGAGATGCTGAAAGCTACGACCAACGCTGATCTATCCAGTCGCGATAGACGCGTCTTCCTGGAAAACCAAAGCTTGAGGTGCCGGGTGGCCCTCCTGAGCAGCCGCTTGCAACAGGAGCAGAGCTTTACGTCGGCACTCAGGCGACACGTCCAGTGTCTCGGCTCGAGGGACGAAGCTTTCCAAAAAACCGTCAAGGACTTGACCAACCGACTGCTGAGTAGCGGTGAGCGACTGCGGTCTTCCCTCGACAGGTGTCGTCAGCTGGAGCATGCGCTTGCAAAATCTGCAGCCAAAGCCAAACGGTTGGAGGCAGAGCTCGACCAGTTGAGAGAAAGCATGAAGTCGTCGAGTGACATGTCGTTAGATTCGGTGAAAATTGTCAGTAGGGAACACAGTGCCTCGATGGAGGAGGGCAAACGCCAAGACGGAGCAAACGGGGAGGCATCTGACGCTGGTTCCCGGAAAGGGAGCGGCGGGGAAGGAAGTGGGATCGATGAAGTGAAACCACTTTCCATTCTCCACATGCAGTTGGAGCTGGAAGAAAAACAGGTAGGCTTCTCAGTACATCTACTTTCTTAGGACATGTAGTCTTACTTAGCCCAAGCATAGGCTGCAGACAATAGTGTATAGTATATGTACTATGTTAATTGAAATTAATTGTTTAACTTATACGCATAGTAATGGAGATTTCTTTTGTACAGAATAGTAGAGCTTTAAATATTTTATTTCACATGTTGCTGAGATTGACCAAACATAGTCCTTGTTGTGCACTTTCATTCTCCGTTTTCTATGTTAACTGCTGGATTTCAGCAGTTTATGTCATACAGTACAATTTTCATTGATTTCACATTTGTTCGGGTATGCAAGATTTTCTTGAATGAAATGATCAGTATGAAATTGGGCTGCATTGAACTATTCTCCAGTAATGTATGGCAACAGTGTGAATAACTAAGCAACATTGTTAAAGTCAATTCAGCACCACTCAACGAAACCTGAGGTGAAGTAATACATTTTCAACGAGAATTCTGTCACATGCCGTGCATTTTGGTGAGAGTAAAATACGAAAATTACTCGTGAATGTGACAAATCAGCTCTAATGAAGCCGGGGGGTGCAACAGCTGCACCAATTGCGTCAATTTGATACCATTCCCCATTTTTGCACCCGAGCTATGCCAAAACCATGAAATTTGCTGAAATTGCACCATGCTCTGCCGAAATGCTCTACCAGCCTCAAAATTTTCTCAGTTGTGATAACTTTAGCGAGAAATGGGCGCCACGTTGCCCCTCTGCAGTTTGTGTCATCAATAAATCCGAGCATTAGGTCAGGCACGATCAACCAGATATGTAACTAAGCCATACCACTGGTCTTCTGTGGTCATGCACCCATCGGTCCGCTGACCGTAGCAGATAGCTATCGGTAGTACGACGTAAGTTTAAGACAAAAATGTGTTACCACACCTGCCAGCACTTCGCGGGAAATATGAACTTTCTACTCGGCAAATGGCATGTTAGCAACTGTATTCTGTTTCATACATCAGGTGCAACGCTGTGGCCACTCGCGAGGCTTTTTACAGTAGACGTGTTCGCACCAAAAAATAGTCCTGTGTGATTACCACCTGTAAGATGGTCTCTCTTCCTCCTCAGCCTTTCAGATACTTTGAGCCTCAGATCTAAACCAACCTCGTCATATTTTCACCAATAAGTCGTTTTGTACCACTTAGAGTCTCTTCGTTTTCGCTTTTTGCTGTTTTATTTGTAGGACACCACGACGCATGTGGTGCAAGCTCATGCTCGGGTCGCACGAACGTTTAGGACGACAGAAGGCAAGCTCGAGACTCGCACATTTACCATCTTGCTGGCCAACTTCTTGCATAGCTTCCCCAGTTTTGCACCTGATGTGTAAAATGGACTGTAGGGCTGGAAGCGCATACCGCATTTTTCGCGCTCAAACAGAGTCAATGTGCTGCAAACATCGGCGTTACCAGCGACCACAGTGGTTACCAGCGATCACAGTACATGAAACATTCTTCTGTCTTGAAGTTGCATTAGTTGCATTGTCCCGGCGATATAGGTATATACGGGGCTGTCGCGAGACCAATAGGCGTGCGCCATTACTACTTTATTTAGTAGAACACACCGTGCAAGCGAGCCAAGAAGTTGGGCCCTAAACTTAACCCCGTCACAAAAAATAAAAGAGTGTTGGGGTGCAGCGGTGTTGGAAACTTTCTTGGCCTTGCTCTAACCCATGCAGAACGCTGTGTATGCAACCTTTGCCGCATTACATTAGTGCCATGCGGAAAAGCGTATTAAGATTTTGAAGGGGTTGTTTACATTACCCATTGGACTCTGCACATTTCGTTCTATTACTCATGCGTGTATACGCTGCATAATTGTGGGCACTAGTACGATCGCCGACGCCTAGAAAAGCTATTGGCAATTATTTGGAATAGTGTATGACATTGCTGCCACCCTGAAAAAGAAACTGTGCACCAGTTTTTTTGTTTTTTTTTTTTTCGCCATCCTTACTCTTGTGCTAGTTGCATCGTCCTGGCGATAGATATCAGGTGATGTTGCCAGACCAATAGGCACACACCGTTGGTTTGAAATCCCCTGAATTTCAAGGTCGCCAGCTTGCCAGATATACATATAATTCACAGAGTCTGTCAAAGATAGACAAAGCAAATGCTAATGTGGACTCTATTGTTTGCTCAGTGGAGTAGTTCAAAATATGAAAATAGCAGTGCTCATATTTACTCTGCATGATTAGGTGATGTTGAATGGTACGCACATATATATATATATTTTTTTTGTTAATGTAAGCGTTATTTTTTACACTGCTCCAAATTTGGTTTTTCATGGTGAAAAATTTTTTTTTTCCAGTAACCCACTTGAAATTTGCATTTTAGTGCTCCAAAAGTAAGATCTTTCTGCCCCAAAAACTGCTCAAAATTTTATTTTGGTAGTTGCACCCCTGCAGAAGCTCACAAGTTTGAGGAAAAGTTTATGAAATGGAAAAGCTTATGAAAGAGAGCTCTTTAGAACATGAAGAGCTCGTTCCTGTCTGGTATTTTCAATCAACTAGGCAGCATTTTTAGAACCCTGTGTGGATTTACATTTTTGGAATTGTGTGGGAATTTTGTGTAGCTTTGTTCCACAAATGGGTGGAGTTGCAAAGTTCTGCCTTTCAAAGACTTCATGCGCCCAAGAATTTCAGTTCCTCTAGAGTTCGGGAGACTTGGATTTTTTGCATGATATAGTGTAGGGGGAGTGTTCGCTGTAGCGCCTTCCATATTCCACTTGTAGCCTTTAAACATCCCCCCTCGCTTCTTTTTCTAGCTTCTGCTGTCAAACCAGGACCTGTGCAGCCGTGTCTCCCAGCAGCTGGAACTGTGTCGGCAGCGCGAAGAGCTGCACGCAGAATATGGCGAGCGACTCTCTGCTGTTCTGGCAGCCTTGAAGGACTCCTGCAGAAGAGAGTTGCTCTCTTTTCAAGAGTGTCTTGCACGCGAGTCCTCGCTTCAGCTGCTTCGGCTACGAGAAGCGCATCAGGCCGAGATTGCGGCACTGAAGCAGAGGCACGCAGAACAGGTGAGTGCGTACTCCGTGTTTCCTTGCGTATTTCTTTGCTTTCACGATATGACTAGCGCAGCACTGAACACCTTTCTAAAAACAGTTTTTGACACGCGAATAAAGTCAAGCAATAAGCTTGACTTTGTTATTTGTTTAATTTAGTGTGATATTGTTACGTGGAAAATAACAGTAGTCAGTCCGCAGCCACAATGCAGCTCACCGACAACGTCCACTTCTTCACTCTCAGTCTGAGCCACCTCTCTTGGGTATGTCCCACTATGCCCTGTTTTAGTCAGCCGAAATTACATAACACAACCCCCTGCGGCAAAAGCGCCGACCCGGCAAGCTTACGGGGCCACAGCAGGAGCAGTGAGGTAACGCTTGAGCCTTGATACGTGGACGATGTCCCGGGACAGCAGAGCAGAAGAGGTCGATGGATTATCAGGGACAATTTCATACGTAGTGTCGGTCACTCGTCTAAGCACGCGGTATGGGCCCGTTAAACGAGAGAGAAGCTTCTCTGAAAGGCCTGCATATCGCGTAGGGGACCAAAGAAGAACGAGGGAACCTGTCGGAACCTGGCCAAAAGTTGGCCAAAGATGGCGGAAAGTGTTCGTCGCGATGCCGCTCGTCGTAACGATGCTTCTGCGAGTCTTGGGACGCCATTAATCTGCTGCAGGCAAGCTGACGAGCATGGTCAGCTTGGGTAATAGCGTCGCGTGCATACTCAGAAGTAGACTGCGCAGCTGCTGGCAGAAAGGTATCCAACGACAATGTTGGTTCGCGTCCAAACAGAAGGTAAAATTGCGAGTACCCAGCAGTGTCATGCCGGGAGGAATTGTATGCGAACGTCACGTAGGGTAGTGCAAGGTTCCAATCACGATGGTCGGCCGAGGCGTATTTCGATAGCATGTCTGTCAAAGTGCGGTTTAAACGTTCTGTAAGCCCGCTTGTCTGGGGATGGTACGATGTCGTGAGCTTGTGTTGGGTAGAGCAGGAACGCAGAATATCGTGAACCACGAAAGGAATGTACGGCCTCGGTCTGTCAGCAGTTGACAAGTGGCTCCATGCACTAAAATGAGATCATGTAGTAGAAAATTAGCCGTCTGTAGCGCAGCTTGTTGGCATGGCTCGCATAACTGCATAGCGGGTCGTGTAATCTGTAGCAACCGCGACCCACTTGTTTCCGGCAGAGGATGTTGGGAAGGGACCGAGAAGGTCCAAACCAACACGGAAGAATGGCTCCGATGGGATGTCGATGGGCTGAAGATATCCGGAAGGGAGTCCCGACGGCTTTTTGCGACGCTGGCAAATTTCGCAAGCGTTAACATAACGACGTACAAAGCATGAAAGGCCAGGCCAGTAGAAGCGGCGGCGCACACGGTCATATGTGTAAGAGACACCAAGGTGACCCGCGGTTGGCACGTCATAGAGCTCGCGTAGGACTGTGGAGCGCAGGTGCTTTGGTATGACCAGAAGTAGGCCGTGACCACAGGGCGATAAATTGCGCCGATATAAGGTGTGGTCCTTTAAGGTAAACATGCGAACAAAAGCGTCTTGCGGTGAAGATTCGAGCTGTTGTATTAGGCGGCTGATATCCGGATCGCGACGCTGCTCCTTCCTGAGATGAAGCTGCTGGCAGATGGAAAGGACGCAACCCACAGAATCAGTGCTCGTAGGATCGCAGTCGGCCACAGGGTAGCGTGACAGACAATCCACATCTTTGTGCAGTTTTCCTAATTTATTATACACTACGGTGTAAGCATACTCTTGGAGGCAGAGTGTCCAGCGGGCGAGACGACCTGTGGGATCTTTGAGGGAGGCGAGCCAGCAAAGAGCGTTGTTGCGACTCCGGGTCCCGCGAGTCTCTGTTTGGTAGCGGGCCCCCGTCCTAGGACCCATCGTCGAACAAGTCAGATAAGGCGCTTGTAAAAAAAAAAAACAATTTATTTACATGGTTAGTAACTGAGAAGGAGAACGAGAAGTCAAGAACTGTACATGAGAACTCTTGAACTGTAGAACTGTAGAACTTCAAATACACGAAATTCTTCGGCTTATATAGTGCCTCGTTGCCAACCCTGGGCACATTGTCCGCGGCTTCCGCCAATAGGGCGCTCCATGGTCTAGGTGCTCCACCCACGAAAGAGAGGAAAGACACCACACAATGCATGCGGAAGGGGCACAGTCCACACGATGCCCAAATATGGTCACAAACGCACTGCACCGACGTTTTCGCACACGTCACCAAATTTCGCGCACGTCCGATGATATTGGTTTCCAAGATTCTTCTGGCAGCTGGGTGAAGATCGAAAAACCGGCTGCCAGTACACGTGCCAAACTTGCCTGACTGTTTGGGTAGGACAATGTAGTGGTGGGCCAGCATACCGTCAAAATATGCCACCCCATTCAGCCGATCCTATGGAGAAAGGAGGAGTAATCAACTAATCCCTCGTCGCCGAGGCAGGCTCCGGTAAGGGCTGCAGCAGATAGTGCATTATCCTTTTCTTCACCCCCACATTCCATTCCTGGTTGTTTGCTAGAAGCTGTGGCTCCGCTTCTCCTCACAAGATGCAACCACAACCAGTTTAGCTTTAGCTTTCAGCCTGAACTGCAAATACCATGCTGGTTCCGAGATTTACAGATCCTCGGTGATCTCTAAAATGGCCCAGCTACCTCCTTGTCTGCCTCGAAAGCCTTACTCGCAGCAAACACAATGGCCTTTCTTGAGTAGAGCTCACATTGGCCTCTCTTGGCTCGTGCGTTTTCTTTGCACGAACCAGTCCCAAACACCTCGTTCAGGTTTTGCCGAGAGGGAATCAACCCGTCTTGACGGCACACCCTTGCTTGGAATGCGTCGAAATATTTTCGTCCCTTTCACAAAAGGCCGAAAAACTTCAATAATGATGACGGTCGTAACAGAATGGTGGTTGGTCAGAACTGTAAATGGTCGACCGTATAAGTAAGGGCGAATTTTCGCCACTGCCCACACCAGCGCTAGGCATTCGCGCTCTGTGATGGAATAATTACTCTCCAAGGGGCACAATTAGCTCCGAACAGCCTGCTGGCATAAGCTATCACGCGATGCTGCCCACGTTGTCGCTGAGCCAACACAGCGCCTATTCCGTAACCACTGGCATCGGTGCGGACTTCGGTCGGTGCCGTAGGGTCGAAGTGAGCCAGAACAGGACAGGAAGTGAGCAAGGTGGTCAGGTCGGAGAATGCTTCTGCTTGCGAGGGACCCCAGGTAAACGTCTCATCTGGTTTGAGTAAATATGTTAGAGGCCGAGCGATTTCCGCGAAGTTCTTGATGAACCGCTGAAAGTAGGAGCAGAGCACCACAAAGCTGCGGACATCTTTGGTGGTTTCGGCACAGGAAAGTACTTCACAGCTCGAACTTTTTCTGGGTCAGGCTGTACGTCGTAAGCATCAACAATATGTCCAAGTATTGTAATGCGGTGGCGACCACACCGGCACTTGGATGAATTCAGCTGAAGGCCGGCAAGACGGAATAGATTAAGAATTTTCGACAGTCTCTCAAGGTGCGCTTCAAAAGTGGGAGCAAACACAATCACGTCATCCAGATAACAAAGACATGTAGACCACTTGAATCCATGGAGCAGGGAGTCCATCATTCGTTCAAAGGTGGCGGGGGCATTACATAAGTCGAAAGGCATGACTTTGAATTGGTAGAGGCCATCAGGTGTTACAAAAGCCGTCTTATCTCGGTCCATGGGGTCCACGGCAATCTGCCAATAACCAGAACGAAGATCGATGAAAGAAAATTAGGCGGCACCATGGAGGCAATCAAGGGCGTCGTCAATTCGGGGCAGAGGGTATGCGTCTTTCTTGGTGATGTTGTTAAGGTGGCGATAGTCCACACAAAATCGCCACGATCTGTCCTTCTTTTTAACTAATACCACCGGGGATGCCCAGGGACTGGAAAATGCTTCAATGATGTCCTTCGCTAGCATCTTGTTCACCTGCTTCTAAATGATGCTCCGCTCAAAAGCAGACACTCTGTAGGGACGGCAGTGAACAGGGTTGGCATCACGTGTGTGTATGCGATACTGGACAAAGGACGTCTGCCCTAGAGGTCAGTCACCAAAATCGAAAATATACTGGTAGGCCTCGAGGAGATGTTGTAGGGCTTCAACTTGCGGAGGCGGAAAATCAGTGGCGATCATGTCTACTATTTGACGGCCGCCCGAACGTGTTGCGAGTGGTGTGTGCTGCGGTGAAACATGGGTGTCTAAGGCAAGCACTTCAATTTGTGAATCGAGCAACGGACACAGGTGGGCCACAGAAATGCCTTGTGGAAGCACATGATTCATGTAGCCGAAATTTACAAGGGGTAGACAAGTTCTGTTATCTGTGATGCTGAGCACCGTGTAGGGCACTGCAATATTGTGCACAAGGAGTACGTCGGTGAGAGGCGTAGCGTAATAGTCACCGTCGGGTACAGCTGGTAAGCACAAAAAATCGATGTACGTCACAGTTTTGGAAGGCAGGTGAACAAAGTCACTGCATTGTAATCGGCATGTAGGTTGGTAGGGGGCGTCACTGATTTGTGGCAGTTCAAGGCGGAGAACACTAGCGGAGCAATCAATCAGAGCAGAATTGGCGACAAGGAAATCGAGGCCTAGTATGAGGTCGTGGAGACATGTTGCAAGCACGGTAAAAAGGACGACCACTTGATGACCGGCTACGGTAAGTTGAGCTGTGCACATAACGACGACAGGGACTGTTGCGCCATCTGCAACTTGGACGACACTGGTCAAGGGGGGCGTGAGGACCTTCTTCATGCGACGACGAAAATGCGAACTCATAACAGAGACGAGAGCGCCCGTATCAATCAAAGCTTCAACAGGTGTGCCATCAACATATACTTCAAGGGTGTTCCGGTTCAAACGTAAGGGCAACAGAGGATTTTTGGGTAAGGTCGACAGGGCAGCTTCACCTCCAGAAGCTGCGCAGCCTAGTTTTCCGGAGACATGCGGCGGTTAAACGATGGCGAGGGAGAGCGGCGACGCGTATTTGGATGAGAAGGGCGGCTTTGAGGCGGCGAAGAAGACGGGACAGGGTGGCCGTAGTCCTCAGGGGCAGTAAATGCTGTAGACTCAGTGCGGGTCGGATAACGGTAGTTTGGTGGACAGAATGAGTTTCTGTAAGCGCGGTACAAGCCAGAAGGCATAGATGGCCACTGGCTGCAGCAGTAACGAGCGATGTGTCCCGCGCGACCAGAGCAGAAGCAGATTGACTTATCATCAGCTGTTCGCCATTCAGACGAGTTTCTGGTTCGAATAGAGTACGGATGGCAACGTCTCATGTCCACAGAAGCTATCGAGGGATCGGTATTATCGAGGGTGGGTGTAGTGACAGGATACCAGGGTTAGCGAGTTCCTGGCGGACAACAGCCTGGATCAAGGAGACAGCTGGCGTTGAGGCGTCGGGCAACGTCGGTTTGTTGGCAGCCGGGTAAGCGGCCTCAAGTTCACGTCGGTCGATGCGCGTCACGTCTTCGGTTGTAGACGGATGACTAGGAGTGGCTTCGCAAGAGGACGTTACCGCGCTGTTGGGTAGGCGCTGGAACTGCTGCAAAATGCGTCGACTCTTCGCCTGCTCAAGACGGCGGCACTCTTTGATGACGGCGTCAATGGTCGTAACGTTCGTAAATACAAGGAGGCTGAACGCATCGACGGCGATTCCTTTTAAAACGTGCGAAATCTTGTCGGCCTCAGTCATGTTGAGATCGGCCCTTTGACACAACGCTAAGACGTCTTGAATATAAGTCAAGTAGGGGTCAGTGGACGTCTGTGTACGTACGGCCAATTGCTTTTGGGCATCAAGCTGTTGACCATACGGGTTGCCAAAAAGGTCGCGGAGCTGTTGTTTAAACATTTCCCAGCTAGTGATTTGGTGCACATGGGTCTCAAACCAGATGCGAGGGTCTTGTCAAGATAGAAAATGACATTCGCAAGCATAACGGTTGGGTCCCAGCCATATTGCTTGCCGACGCGCTCGTACATACTAAGCCACTTGTCCACATTCGCGTTGTCCTCTCCAGTAAAGGCACCTGGGTCATGGGGTTGCGTTAGGGCGACGTATCGGGTTGCTGTCGTTGCCGAGGTAGGTGGCGAAGCTGTATCCTCACCCGGAGCCATGGTAGCAGACTTAAGAAGGTGTCCACTGCGTAGCTCCATTGTCAAAAGACTACCCCGCATTTCCACCAAAATGTTACTTGGAAAATAACAGTAGTCAGTTTGCAGCCACAATGAAGCTCACCGGCAATGTCCACTTCTTCACTCACAGTCTGAGGCACCTCTCTTGGGTATGTCCCACTATGCCCTGTTTCAGTCAGCCGAAATCACGTAACAATATAGACTGCATGAGGAACATGGCACGGGGGCACAGAATTTTGGGTGCCTTGATTGTTTCACCTTTCTGTAGTTTGCTGATTATAGCTCTGCATTTGTCTCCGTATAGTGTTTCTTTACGGTGTACAATGTTTTACACAGCTTCTTGCTAGAAAGGATGAATTTCCTTGTTGGCCTTAAGATGAAGTGTCAACTCAGTTACTATCTTCTGAACTGCATTCATTGTCTCATTATTGCAAGTACAAGATAACTAATAAGGCCGTGGCAAGCTGTCCTCAAAAAGAAAAAAAAGTTTAATGAAGTCATGAATACGCTCTCAGAAATGTATCTTAGTCGTAGGTGTTGCGGTAAACGAGGACTAGCATTTGTCATACTGCCTGTGGGCACAAAACACCGCTAAAGCCATATTAAGTGTGTGAAAACAAGTAATCTGTGGTTTGGTTTATATGGGAAGTGAAGTTCACCGCGTCGACCTTTCTTCAAACATGCATTACTGTGCATGTTATAGCAGCTGATTACAGATACATAGCTTGCGTTCTGCAGGCGTCTATGCCGTTTTATTTCCACATGACCGGAAATATACACTAGTCAAGAACTCATATTTAGGGTTTTAAAAATATTCTAACACATTGAATGTTCCAACTAATGTTAAAGTGTTATAATTTATTTTGACAAAAATATAAAGTTTCTCAGATTTCAAAATAATAAAAAGAAAAACTAATAGTAGGTGCATCTTACGGCACGTGCGTATTACCCGCCTGATAAGGCCATTTCACTGCAGCACAGAGTTGCTGTACCGTGAAACCACATATAAAAATACGTTTGGTTGCGATGCCTTACTTCATGTTAAACTTGCATCTGGATTAATTTTCATATAAAGTTCACTGTGAAGCTCACTTTAAAAGCTTACTGTTATGGCTTATCTTGGGAAAAGTGTTGCAAATTCTAAAATGTTACAAAGCTTTAAAGGGCCAGTAAACTACCCCCTAAGTCTAAAAATTGTTATTTATTCATTTATTTTATATACTGTAGCCCTGTAAAAGGGCTATTGCAGGAGTAGGGTTACACAGAGCAAAACGAAATCGCAAGAAAAAATATACATAAGAAGTAGTAACAAAATAACAATAAAACACATTTATAACAATAAAGGAATTAAGCTTTTGTTACATAATCATTTTCGACAAGAATAGTAACATAGTCACTCAGGGGGTGTGATCGAATGTGACCAGGTAAGGAATTCTATAATTCTATTGTTCGGGGAAAGAAACTATACTTGGATGTGTCTGTGCGGGCAAAATAAGTAGCAAGATTGAGCTCGTGGAAGTTACGGGTAGAGGAAGGCTGAGCAAGTGACAAAAAGGCTGTGTTTGAAATGCGATATGAATGGTTGATTATGTTGCGCAAAAATTTTAATGATTCTACACCACGACGCACCGAAAGATGTTTTAGCTTTAGCTTCTGTAATGCTAATGACGATGAGAAGTAGCGGTCTTTTCTGTGAAAAATGAAATGGGCAGCTTTCTTGTGAACTGCTTCTAGTCTGATTATAAACTGCTTCTAATCTGAAGAGAAAAAAAAAAAGAGAGGATGACCTTAATTTTTGGTCTGGCGATCCAATGCCGCCAATTCCCCACGGGGTGGGTGCCCTCCCAAGCGACTAAAACTTCGTTCTGTAATTCGGATACCTCAGAGGAGTTCTTTGTGTTCTGTAAACCTCTGCAGGTAGAGCAGCTGCAAGCTAAGCTGCTGCCAGCCGACACATTGACGCCATCAGCTACGGACGACGAGGATGCAGTTCTCGCAGAGTTGCGCCAGCGGCAGCAGGCAGAGTATGAGCAGCTTCTGCCCAGCTTGGACCCAGAGCTGCAACTCAAGCTACAAGCTCTGGTGGCTCTGACACTGCGAATACACCAAGTGGAGAACGAACGGGCTCTGTCCTCTGCACAGGTGAATGGCAGTGTCACTGATACCACCCACCGCTTGGTGTTGCCTGGAATATGAAAGTGAACGGGCACAAGATGCCACTCAGTCAGAACAGACAAAGGAGGCACTGAGCTTTTTTTATCTTCTTTTGAGCTTTGTTAATTATTTTTGTTGTCTTTTTTTCTCATTTCAATAATTTTTAGCTCTCCGGGAAACTTTTGATAGCATCAAAAAGAACGAAACTTTGTCACTTTTTTATTACTAAACTTTGTACTCATAAACACGGTGTGATGCTTACTACATGGAGAACTATAAGCTTAACATTACTTTTGTGTAGGATATGTAATCAGTAGCAATTAGTGTTTCTTTCTCAATTTTGGGCTACAAGATTTGCTGTTGAATGAATCAGCCTGGCTCATAGTTAGTGCACATCATCATCATCATCAGCCTGACTACGTCCACTGCAGGGCAAAGGCGTCTCTCACGTTCCGCCAGTTAACCCGGTCCTGTGCTTGCTGCTTTCAATTTATACCCGCAAACTTCTTAATCTCATCTGCCCACCTAACCTTCTGTCTCCCCCTAACTTGCTTGCCTTCTCTGGGAATCCAGTCACCCTTAATGACTAGCGGCTACCCTACGGAGCTACGGTTAGCTATGGAGCAGAAACCTGGAGACTTACAAAAAGGGTTCAGCTTAAATTGAGGACAACGCAGCGAGCAATGGAAAGAAAAATAGTAGGTGTAACCTTAAGAGACAAGAAGAGAGCAGAGTGGATTAGGGAACAAACGGGGGTTAAGGATATCATAGCTGAAATCAAGAAGAGGAAATGGACATGGGCCGGGCATGTAGCGCGTAGACATAGTTAGTACTACCTGCCCACAGATAGTAGCTATTGACTCTTACTACATTTGATGTGATAGCAGAAGAAACAGCTCAATTTGTCATGCTGTGGCTTACTGTTGTGTTAAAATATAGCACGAGAAGAATTTTGATTTACTTTTAAAAGTGCATGTAATCACGTCATTTGAATAGCGCACTACAGTCGAGCCCACATATAACGGCCCCACTTAAAACGAACTTTCACTTAAAACGAACAATATCCCCGTGAAGGTGAAAATATACATTGGTTCAATGGCACAAAATCGCACTTACAACGAACGTCTCTGAGCGCCGCTGATCGGTTACAGCCAACAGAGTCAGCGGTTGCCGACTTCCCGGGAAACCAATTTCAGCCACTGATTCAGGCATCGGCGAGGTGCCCATACATTCTTATTGTTAAACGCCGACCCTGCCTCCGCGACCCTCTCATTGCCGCTCTCCCCAACCCATGTAGGAAGGAAAGTTGTTTCTTTCCACCATGCCCCGACTGCTTTTTGTTACGCACCCCTCTGTCCTTTGTCCCCCCGCTACTCTGAGCACCCCGCATCGCCAGACGAGGCCCGTGTCTTCACATTGCCACCGATTTTCTGAAGTCGTTAGTGTCGCCGGCCTCGAGCGACCAGACCATTTGCCAACATCGTCGGCCGCCGACTGTTTTCGATAGTCTGTGTCTAGTGCACGCGCGTACGCTACCCCACCGACTCTGATAATTTGCGATTTGTTTCGTGTTTAGAACTTGTTCTCGCTCACTTTTCACTAGGCTCAGCATGCCTACCGTGCGCGTACGGGAGCGCGAAAACGGCTGCTAATTTGCACGGGACGAATCGCGAAATATCGAAGTTCGTGAGGCCATGCAAACCTGCCGGCGCAACAAAACGATTATTTGACCACAGCCGCCGATTCTTCGAACACCGCCGCGCGCACCGATATAGGCGGCCATGCCTTGACTTCTGCGTGCGCAGGCACTCTTTCTACGTTTTTCTGCGCGCGAGTTTCGCGGACCTTTCAAGCAAGCTACCCGACCTGCCTTCTTCCCGTGTGTTTGGTATTCAAGGCCGCCCTCCCGCCGCATCCTGCCCTCTCTTTATCACAACTCCTTGCCCTTCTCTCGCAAGTCTGCTCTTTTCTCTTGATCACAACCCCTTCGCCCGTCTCCTCCGCTCCGCGACGCCCGCATCGCTGGCTCGAATTAGTTTCGTTTCTGACTGGAAACGGGCCCAAAGCTGTTCCACGCGTTCTAGCATGTGTGTCGCAAGTGCGCGTCTTGCTCGCTCTTGGTGTGCGTGTGTGGTCATGATGGCCGACGGGAGGACTAGTACGCCTTTTCCTGCCGCTCAACAAAACTTCGAAAGTGTGACCACTTGGCTTGGGTGTAATCCGCGCGTTAGGTGCCGCGTTACGAAGCGCTTGCTCATAGCTGTTGACTACCTGGCAGCTAACTTGCCGCTTCGGACGTCCCGGTATTCAGCTGTGGAGATGGTGAATATTTCGTGGGCGGTGGTGATCACTACACGCGCGCTGAACTGTTTTCGCGAGGCCGACTTTGTTGACGTCGGGACCGATGCCGAGCCTGAAGCTTCCGACCTGGGAGAGCTGGTGGGACATCTGTTGCGATGGTTTAATTACGGCCGATGATGATGCCGACACTGCAGAAACGGGCACGGATTGGGGCATTGTGAATGAAGTATGTGGCGAGAGAAACTTGGAGAAATTGGATTGCGAGAACTACAAAACTTTGGAGCCAGGGCCTCATGCAGCTTATGCCACGGGCCTCGGCGAACGAGCACCCTGCCGTTTTAAATGAACTGGATACCACCCTTATCGCTTCTGCTCTTCGAAACACGTGCATCACGGACTTTTTGGGGTAAAAGAGTTCGCATTTTCAGTCGCACCTTGAAAGCTCTGTTTCATTTACTACGAACTTCGGGATACAGCGAACGGATGCCGCGTCACGCTCAGGTTCGTTATAAGCGGGCTCGACTGTATTCATGAAAAAGTCCGGGCTGGGAAACTGCTAGCAATACAGGAAATTACCCACCGCACTAGGTGTTCATTATACATCTCTGCAGTTGTTCGCAACATCATGGCATTTGGGCACCTAGAGAGACCCCAGCCTTTGTGGGACTTCCCACTAGCAAACACACAAGCACTACTGAGCATGGAGCATTAGTCTGGAAAATTTTGCAACAGATTGTTTAGGAAGCACGGCCCCTTTTGTTGACATTTTTTGCACCTTGACAGATATTCAGTAGCTGATGACCTGCTAAAAAATTATTTTATATTTGTTGTTTTTACTGACAGTGTCCGTGAGCCTGGGCTGTTCTGAACGATTGTATTGGTTGATACCTTTCTTTGCTTTTCAGCCTCCGAATTTCCGATAATCTGCTAAATGAGGTCCGTGTTTGCCTCGCTAGAGTAATATGGTACTCGCTACAACAGTCAACGTTATGCCTTTTACAGGAGCATCTGGCTAGTGAGAAGCAGCGCTTGGGAGAAGCACTGACGGCCTGCAGCAAGGTGCAAAGGGAGGCTCTAGAAGCTCGGCTAGAGCATGAGCAGAAGGCTGCTCTGAGGGACCAGTACCAGGCCCTGCTCGATGACACAGGCAAAGGCCCCGGCACCTGCGTCCGCCCAGACAGCCCTGCCGCTGCTGGAGACGGCTCCGAGGCACTGAACTTCTCTCACGTCAGGAAGGAGCAGCTGCAAAGCTCGACGGAGGCACTCTTCGGCCTTCTGAAAGAGCGGCTAGAGAAGGACTTCTACACCGCCCTCAGTGTGAGTCCTGCACCTCAGTCTGGTCCTGGGCACGCTTGGGTGAGGCTGGGGCTAACATTGCCAGCCCTTGCCCGTCTGGGTCCTAATGTGTTTGTATAGGTTTGCTCTTGTAAAGGTGGTTTCACTTTTGTGACTGGTTGCTAAGCCGTGAAAGCACTTAACAAAATGTATTACAGTCGACTCCCGTTAATACGAAGTTCACGGGAACCGCAAAAAACTTCGAATTAAACGAACTTCGAATTAAGGGGGGACGTGCCTTTCATAACGAACTTTCTTGTTTCTGGTTAGATCTTGATGAAAATTGGCACAGAGACTAAAAATGACCTCATAATGCTTCCATAAAAATTTCAAGATGATATCATGAAAGCTTTCTGAGAAACAAATAATTTCATTACTGGACCTCGTGGAGCGGCTGGAGAGTTTAAAAAATGACATAGAAAGTTGGTAAACACTGTGTGCAGAGGTGAATGTATGCTCTAGGGGGCTGCGTTTTCAAAATAATTTTTTTGCAACACTGAAATTTGTATTTCATGTTTTCTCCACTGATACTTCAATGAGCCCATTTGCACTACAAACAAGAAACCCTACCAAGAATTTTTAAAAGGCTAAATTCTAAAAATAAAAACGCAGGCCCCTGAAGCACAGTTCAAGGAGCATTACAAAAAAAAAACAGAATCAAAATCTGTCAAGTAGTTGCGAAGATATCTGCTCCACGAGCTGAGCAACATGCCAAAAAAACAGTATTGAGAAAACGAGGTTCAAAGTCTTGAGTCACGGTTTACATGCCTAATAGGCACCAGGGTTGTAGTCCTTAGTGTCCTTTGCAGTGCGGCGTCGCTTGGCCATCTGACCTTTAGCCTGATGAGCTTTCGCAGCCTTTTTTTTCCGCATGGCATCTTTTTCGGCTGCTCTACGAAGTGCATGGCGTCCAGGTTGGAGACCAAGAGATGTGCAAAGTTGGGTGTAGGCATGGAGGTTACCAGCATTATACCTACAGAGATGCCTCCGCTGACACGAAACGAGGCTCTAATCGGGCCCGAATCGTGCTACTGGTGGTGCTGGTAGACGGCCTCGCATCCTCGCGCGAAGTACTTGGCTGAGCATCCGCAATGTCTACATCCTCGCGCTAAGTGCTAGGCTTAGCATCCGCGGCGTCTACATCCTCGCGCGAAGTGCTTGGCTGGGCATCCGCAATGAATACATCCTCGCGTGAAGTGCTAGGCTTAGCATCCGCGATGTCTGCAGCCTGCGCGGAATGACGAACAGATGTTTCCTCAGACAGCACAAAGCACTGCTTCACAGGCATATGAACAGTTTCGTCGATGCTCGCGGACGATGCTCCGTGCGTGCTTGTGCTCGGCTGCGAGTCCTCGTTGTGCCGCACGCCGACGTCGCTGCTCGCAGAAGTTGCCGGACTGAATTTCTTTTTCACGATCGGCGGCTTTGGCTTACGAGCACCAAATTGCTGCGCAGTCTTGCGTTTCTTCTTGAACGATCGCCGGTCCATGATCGCATGCGGAAACTGATCTCAAAACTGCAATGCGCCAAACTGGATAACAACGTTTCTCTCCTTTCACGAGCGCCGGTCTTATCGCAGCGCGATGCGATCTCGAAACCACGCCGCGACGAGTTGAAACCAAATGCAGTAAGCGGCCCGTCAGCGCGTAGAGCAGACGACCTTTGCGCCGACTGCTACAAGCGACCGCACGAAACCACGCCGCGACGAGTTGAAACCAAATGCAGTAAGCGGCCCGTCAGCGCGTAGAGCAGACAACCTTTGCGCCGACTGCTACAAGCGACCGCACGAAACCACGCCGCGACGAGTTGAAAACAAATGCAGTAAGCGGCCCGTCAGCGCGTAGAGCAGACGACATTTGCGCCGATTGCTACAAGCGACCGCACGGGCGACCAATGCGGAGCCGTTGTACAGTCACATGACGCGCGTCGCCAATCGGAAACTGTTGTGATACCTTTACACTTTGGCTTGCTGTGGGCTTGCTCTTGCCTGGTTCAGCCGGCCGTGGCGGCAAATTTTAAACGGAAGAATCGCGCTATCCATAGAGGCAAAGATGGCGGCGCTAGGTTACGTGGTTGCGGAGATATCAGGGCTCGAAAAACGGCGTTTTTTCGCAATTTCTGTGAAATTCATCGCCACCCTAGCTTCGATAAAAATTTTTTACGTCATTTCTACGCTGTTTTCAGGGACGAAACTTCGAAATTAGATAGAAAAGGGGTCACAGAATGCGAAAATGAGATTTTCAGAAAATCGATTTTTTGGCCAAATTTCGCGATGCCAAAGCCGCGTCCCCTTTTGAGCAAAAAGCACTAAAAACGGCACTTTTATTAGTTTAAAAGCGCGACAGTTTTGAGGAAAAATAGTCTGTCATCTTCTTCTGCTTGCCGAATCTGGCTGCGGCTAGCAAGTTTTGTAAGGAATACACGTGTCGAAGTGCTTCTTCGGCGTTGTGTTCTCCAACAAAAAACCGCTGCGCAAGAGCAAGACCCGCAGCTACATCGGCAGCCCTCGGTGGTGGCTCATTTCCGATGTCGTCGTCATCATCGTCATTTTCAGGAATGCAGTCATGGGGCCGAACCATCTGCACGATTTTGCTGTCCGTTAGTGGACCGCATGTTTCGACGTTGCTGTCCACAGCAACATACTCGTCAAAACGGACGTCACGGAGAGCGGCGCGAAAGCTACCGTCGTCGAGCTCATTTGTTTGCACTTCCACTGGCGCACAAGGAGAAGCATCTCCCGAGTTTTCCATGAAACCACAGGCCCGGAAACAATTGGCGATGGTTTCTTCTTTCACGCGGGTCCAAGCTCGCGCTAGCATGTTGATGGCACTAAGCAAACTCACCTCGTATTGCGACGAGTTGTCCATGCACAAAAGCATGCGCTCGACGAGATGCTGCCTATACAATACCTTCACATTCTTTATTATGCCCTGTTCCATGGGCTGCAACACGGACGTCGTGTTTGCAGGCAGGTACACAAGACGAATGGCACTCAAGGCAGGTACGTTCATGTGGGCACTACATTGGTCCACAAGGAACAACACCTTACAGCTTGATTGCGCGAACTTGCGGTCGAGTTTGCTGATCCAGTCCTTAAATATATCGGATGTCATCCACGCCTTTCTGTTTGAGGCATAATCCACAGGAAGCGTCTTCACGCCTTTAAAGCACCTGGGCTTGGCAGCCTTCCCGATCACAAGCAGGCGACACCGTTCTGTGCCAGTCATGTTCGCCGCACTAGCACTGACACTCTCTCTTTGCTTCTTTTGCCTCCAGAACAGTCGTCGTCTTTAAATGTCAGGGTCTTGTCCGGTAGCAGCTGATAAAAAAGCGCAGTCTCGTCTGCATTAAAAATGTCTGCCGGCTGGTACTCTTCGAGGTACTCGCGAAGCTTGCCCGCTTTCCATGTCAGGCACGTTTCCTCATCGACTGACGCCTTCTCCCCACACACGCTTTTAAAAATCAAGTCGTGGCGACGTTTGAAACGCGTAAGCCACCCATCCGAAGCAGCGAAGTCATTGATGCCCAACATTTCAGCAAGCGATGACGCTTTTGCCGTGACGACTTCACCACTGAGAGGAAGTTTGTTGTTTCGTGCCTCTCTGATCCAAATCAGCAGTGCTTTCTCCAACTCGGGGTAGGCGCCGGTGCGCATCCGCTTCCGTGATGTCTTGAATTTTTCACTTTCAAACGCATCCAATATTGAGCGCTTATTCTTTATGAAAGTCGACAGCGTGTTAGGCTTAATGCCGTACTTTCTTGCAATGTCTTGTTTGGCGGTGCCTCCCTGGTCAACTTCCTTCAAGACTTCGACTTTCGTCGCTAGGTCTAGCGTTCAGTAAGGGCCACGAGTCGCCATTATCAAACGTACGTCACCACCACAACACTCAAAATCAGAAGCGCGGAAACACGTGTGGAATCAACCCAGCGCGCGGGTGACGCGGTGACACACTCGAGTCTCGACAAGTCAACTAAAGAGTCAGTCGATGCCGCCGATGCGATTCGCCAGCGTTAAAAAGATTGCCGCTTCAAGATCTGTGGCGCTGCGGACAGTAGTGATGGCGAAGACACCAGCGCGATCCGGCAGATGTTTTGGCATATGAAAAGTTCCCCATTTTACTGTAAAATTACGGTCGCGACGAGACTGACGATTGAAAGGACTTCTAATTAACCAATATTATGGGTTTTTAACTTCGAATTATCGAGCATTTTTTTCTATATGATTGCATGCAAAACTGATGGGACCACTTGCTCATTTCTAATTAACCGAAACTTCCAATTAAGCGACTTCGAATTACCGGGAGTCGACTGTAGTTCACATGTAATCTTCTGCAAAGGGGGTTTCACAGCAGTGGAAGAGTGTTAAGTGCAAAAACACTTATTTAAGTGTATAATACTGTATTTACTCGATTAATCTTCGCGCTCGCATAATTTGCGCACCCCCAATATTTTGCCCACTGTATTAAAAAATATATTTACTCGCATATTTTGCGCTGCCCAACCCATCCGAGCGAGCTCGCCCACACGCGCACGAAGAGACTTTGGACGCTTTGGACGGCTGCGCCGAGCTAGAAAGTGCAGTTAAACGGGCTGCGAGTGCGAAGAACCTTTTTTTTGAGGAATCCCTCCGACCGAACTAGACTCCCTGGAATACTGACCCAAAGGTTGCTGGAGCTTGAGATGGAAGATGGAGGGAAGCAAACTCTATCACCGTCAGAATGCACACTCGCGTCACTGCACGGACAACTTTTTACATCTGAGGCATGCGAGGGCCTGTCGCACCAACTGTTCCCCTCGTTCTATGCGTCCTCCCTGCAACGCACGCTTGGTTATTTTAGAACTTTAAATCGCGTTTTTACTGTTCCTTTGTGATGGGCTACATATGCAACAAAATTCAAGCTCTCTTCTTTAAAGCTTGCTGAAGAAAACGAGAACCGTGCTGCTGCCATGCGCTTTTGCATGAAGCTCTTCACCGTGTGACG